CACTCCCCTCCCTGATCCAGAGTCCCTCCCCAGCTCTCCTGGAGCCCCTTTAGGCACTGGAAGGGGCTCTGAGGTCTCCCCTTTTTGGCCTTCTCTTCTCCAGGCTGAACCCCCCACCTCTCCCAGCCTGTCCTCCCAGCAGAGGTTCTCCAGCCCTCCCAGCATCTCCGGGGCCTCCTCTGGCCCCGCTCCAACAGCTCCGTCTCCTTCTGCTGTTGGGGTTCCAGAGCTGGAGCTTTTATGGTATTGGCATTGCTTTGGCTCTTGCCTTAGAAACACCGCTTCCATACTCCCGAACGAAGGGCGCTCTGTCCCTCGTTTTCCTTAGCTGACCCAACAGCAACGGAATCGGGATGAGCGATGGCTGAACATTACTCAACATCTACGACATTTTGAAAAGTCTTATAAACAAGCCAGGAATAAACCCCAAATTCCCCCCTGTCGGTGAAGTACGGGCTTTTCTCCTTTCCTTCCAGCCCAGAAAGGTGATGTGCTGCACCCCCGTGACAATGGAGGTGTCCCCGAGGTCCATATGTTGCAGCGTCGCGGCATCTCTGAGCCTGGCTGGTTCGGGGGATGTCCTCACCCCTCCCGGCTCCCCCAGCCCGGGCAGAGAAGCCGCAGAGAAGGCGGGTTTTGCCGGTCCCCGTCTCGTCTAAATCCAGAACGAGATGATTGTGGGATGGGAAATGAAGGGGCTGCTCCCCGCTCTGCCGTTTCGGTGGGTTTTGGGTGCACCCGGAGAAACCTTGGCTGAACTTGGAACGTAAGGATGGGGCGCAGACCTCGCGCAGGACCTGCTCTGCTCTCGCTTTTTGCATTTGCATTGGGCAATGGCGCCTCTCGGAGCTGCTCACCGCATCCGCCTGTCCCGGGGGAGCGGGGGGATGAGCAGGAGAAACGCTGTGTTATACTCGCTACTGGGTTTTGGGTTGGTTTTCTGGTTTTAAGTTCCCCGAGCGTTCTTGAGTTGTAGGAATAACTATTTCTGCTGTACCTGAGATGCCGATTGTGGAGTTTTCTGCCCTCTAAAGGCGTGATGACGGTTTTGGGTAAAGGCTGGTGCTCTCCCCTGTGTCTTTGCGACCTTTCCCTTGGGTGAAAGAGCTTATCCTGCCCAAAGCAGACCTCGCAGAGCCCCCACGAGGTTTGGTCCCGCTGCAGGGCGCGTTGACGCTGTGCCTGGCTCCCGTGGCCGTGCGGGAAGGGGGCGGTTTGGCACGTGGCCCTTCCCGGTGGCACCAGCACACCGCTCCCCGTGCCACCCCTCCATCACCCAGCCCTGAACCAAATCCCGGTGACAGCCACGGGAACCCTCCGGATGCCTCCTCGGGGCTCTGGATGACATCCCGCGGCGCTTCTCCCCACCCCGTGGGGGAAAACACGGTGGCCGCGACCCCCGACCCCGGCGGAGCTGCCTGCGTGCGGGAGGAGGCGGGAGGTCCCCCTGCCCGCCACGCCGGCGGGGTAGTACGGGCCGGGGGGAACCATGGAAACTGTTTTTTCTCCATCCCTCCCTTTGCAGATGACTCGGGCGACGAGGAGCCCGCCTCGCAGTCAGACAAGAGCGAGCTGCACGGCACGTTGAAAACCCTCTCGAGTAAGCTGGAGGATCTGAGCACTTGCAATGACCTGATCGCGAAGCACGGGGCGGCCCTGCAGCGCTCGCTCAGCGAGCTGGAGACCTCAAGCTTGCCGGCCGAGAGCGGCGAGAAGATCAAGGCGGGGAACGAACGAGCCAAGCTCTTC